TCTGCCTTCCATGGTTTGTTCACCATGCAGTTCCAACCATTTAGGTAACTCCAGCATCTAACAAACAGAATCCACTCTTCACAAGGTCAATCAGTAGCGCTATATTAAAATGCTGCTCAATCCTGGCTGAAGTGGCCTGATCAGACACCTGTGAAAAGCCTGTCTCAGCCACTTATTGTACTTAGAAGTAACACATTGAAATAGAAAAGCTCAAATGAATCAAATACTGCTACTTGTCTATCTCATTATTTTCTAATTTCCAGCTGTCAGTAGACTTAGACCCTCCACCACCTTTGAAATGGTCTCCAGATGCTCACTTATTCCAAGCATCCTTGAAACAATTGGCATTCTCTTCCATGCCCTGTGAATAGGTTGAAACAGTCAGTCAATGCTAAGAGAACACAGTTACAAACACACTGCTGACACTGCTGTTTGTAAGAGGCCTAACTAGTTCCTCTTATTGACAGAGTGTTAAGTGGACTAACTGACCTTTAATGGTAAGCCTGAAGCTGCGTTTAGTTAGTGTGTTGGTTTGTGTACAAGTGTGTGTAAAGACCAGAGGTTACAGAGTGAAGGGTCTCAGGGTTAAAGCTGCACCAGTCAAAGCTGCACAGGTGTTATTTTAGCAGCTCGGGAATACGCTGTTATTTAGGAGAGAAAACACACACACGCTTTTATCCTACACACAACATTAAAAAAAGCTTCCTTGCTTCCTGTAATGTCTTTATCTCTTCAAAACAGACCACTTCTGAAATGTCTTCACTCTGGAAGCTTTTTCTTGGAAGTCTTAAATGTGAGGACATGAATATGACAGAGACACACTCACAGTTTATGTTGCACTCTGACCTGTCCACTTGTAAATTTTATGATTCATCTCAAGCCGCCTCAGCTCGGACCCTAGGCTGAACAAGGTATCTCCTAGCAAACAGCATCACCCAGGCTTGGGACCCTTGAAGGGGTTATGCAATGAAAAACAACTAGTAATGCCATCTACTGCCTTTAATCTTTGTGATAAATGTTTTCATCTGGGCTTCTGCAGAAAATTATAAAAAGAAATCTTTTATCAGTGTTGCTTTGCTGTGAATAGGAGGACCTTTATTTTTACACAGTGCTGGCAGATCAACAAGGTTCATACTGACATATAAAGAAGCTACGAGGTAGCATTTCTGTATTTTCAGACAAGAGAAAGACATTGTTCCTGTCAGTCTACCAGCCAGTTCTGGTTCTTGGTGATTGACTTAAGGCTGTGTATTAAAACATGTATTCACAGTGACATACAAATACGGCTACATTTGTGGAGCGCTTTCTTTCACTTAACCTTAAATCCAACCCTTAGTGGTTAAATAGTTCTTTATTTAAGAGAGGTAATTTAGCTCAGATAAGGATACAAGTGCAATATGTGCATGCACACACACTCACTCACTCACTCACTCACTCACTCACTCACTCTCACATACACACACAAAAACAGACACACCAGAGATCAATATAGCCCCAGAGCATTGTTGAGTACTGGATCTAACCCACATAATCATCTGTAATCTCTGACATCAAATCCTGCAGAGACACATTGGAGGGCTGACAACAAGCCTTCATCAGCTCAAAGCGTCTAATAACCACCCCCACTTTCCACACACGCATATAAAAAAAAGTGCTGCCAGGTACAGAAGCTAAAAAGGAGAATTGCAACCATGAGCCATAACGACTCAGCTAGCCATATGGTAAAATCCATTTGGTCAAACGTACATAGGCTGGGTGCAGAGAGGACCACAACAAAAATGGTGTTCCTTAACTTTGACGTCACACATGATGACCCGGACTACACATGAATAAATTTGTATACTGCAGCTGAACTGTAAGTAAAGTAAGAAGAGACACTTGCAGGCCAATGTTTAACAGAGGCTGTAACATTGCTAGTCTGGGCCTAATCTCTCTCTCTAAATCTCAAGTAAGCATCATATTGACCATAATGTAGTCATCTTCTAAACAGCCTAGCAAGGCAGGTGGCTCCATATATGCTCCCTGAGAAAACACACAGGATCTCAAGACCACACTCCTGCTTCATTTAATGTACTTGGCTGGGACGTAAACACAGGAGCATATCATGTTTTTCCCTGAGGTTGAATATATTAGTAGTTATACATTTTGAGGCAAACAGACAAGTCATCACTGGGGATTCCTGGCATTGTTTTCCTTCCATGCTAAAAACGTCCCACACTCATCCTTGCTGAGTTTTTGATGCTTACCGTCCTTCCTATTCTTTTGATGTGAGACAGACGGTTTTCTCAGTTTCTTTGTTTCACCTGAAGAGACACACCATCTTGTTTGAACATTAAAGAACTTAAGTCAAAGTGTGATTGTGCACAGGACAAGCCCAGACCAAGGACTGCTGAACAACATGCACCTCGCCTTCACGGTTGGTTACAGCAAAGATCTGCATGACGTCACACTCAGCTGAGGACAAAGCCCACTGGTTTCTCACAGACAGAGAGGTGGGGGGTGGCTGTCAGACCAATGCAAGGCCAAGCAATAGAGTGAAAAATGAAGACTTGTAGATGGATTTGCTGCAGCAATGTGGGTGAGTGTGTGTGTGAGTGTGTGTGTGCAGAAAATCTTCTATTTACATACATGTGAAACAGCTGGTGGACTCCCATATGCACATGTGCTGTAAAGGTGATGTAGAGTGAGTGTGACTGTATGCACATGAGGTGTAATGTGTATGTCAGAGCCATCATGCCCTGCTTGTCAGGACAATGGGAGGAAGTGCTTTGCAGCTGAGCATAATAACACTGTAATAACTGACTCTAAACACTTCATAGGTTTTATATATACTGTAACTAGGGTTCAATGCCAACATCAATGCCCCCTTCACTGCATGATGCAATGCAACTCCCAAGTGCAATCCAAGGGAACAATACACCCACTGTACTCAGTGCTATCCTCTCCCCTGTAAGCTTTACAGTGATCATCATCACTCCACCCGCTGAGCTACAGTCATAATCTCACAGATATATGCCAGTGCTGTTGATCCCTCCTTCTTGCAAAGCCCATATATGCACAATCCCAGGAGGGCATGAGTGTGCAGCAGTTATACCAAAATTAAATATTTACACTTGCATTTTGATGGGACATCCATACCTATGACGGTGACTGATACACTGGGGTTTCTATCCCTCACTTCGTCCCTCGCCACCGCAGAGTGCACGCACGCACACACATACATAAAGAAAGAGTGAGGAAAGCAGACAAAGCAGGGGAACGCCCCCTGCACCCTGCAAGATACTGGCAGGTCATCAGCTGGCTTAGGCTGGATTCCAGTCATTCTTTGCTCAGATTCACTGATTGATAAAGAAAATGATGACTGATCCATGAATTACTAAATAACCGCAACATTTGTACAATATCCATACATAGCTATATTTAAAGTTCACACAATGCAGATGATTAATAGGTAGCTAGCTAGTCAGATGTGAGGATTCGTAAAATCATACTCACCTAATAAAAAAGGTGGATTCAGGAGGGGAAACACACAGTCTGAACTGACGCGTCCCTGTCGTCTGGGAGTTTGGCCTTTTTGTTATCTCTCTGCCGTGTTGACTGCTGCGTTGTCGGATTCCAGGTAGCTAACGTTAAAGGGGCGAAAATCGACTTCGACGCTAAAAGCCCTTAGTCGCCTTAGCTCTGGATGTCTGATGGGTAAAATAATCAGAGAGCTTCAGTATCGTCTTGCCACATAGCTCGCTCGCTTTGCTGTCTGTCTACGTCCCTTCCTCTCTGTGCCTGTCTTTTTTTGTGCTCGCAGCTGTTTTCGTTGTTTCAACCTTTGCCTGAAATTCCTCCTCTGTCCCTTTAAGCGTCAACGTTTCCGGGGTTTGCCAGTTAATATCAAGGGGGCGGGGCTTCACGGCCAGCTGAGCGCCTGTCATTTAGGCGATTGGCTGCTTCTGTTCCGCTTAACCAATCAGCACTCAGGGATTAGGCCGTCTTTAAAACATGCAGATTTATTCAAAAAATCCTGCTCTGTGATTGGACCATGGATTAACTCAGGAAACGCCCAGTACACGTGCTTTTTCTACCCTCCCATTCTTTACTGCGAAAGACGGCTGTTGTGCTGTCAATAGATCCTATAATATTTAACAGAAAACTACAAGAAAACTATGTACTGACGTACTAAATAAAAACTTTACAGTTATACAGCACATCAACATGCTGTAAAACTACACACGGCAACGGTTAACTTTGCAGCCAAATAACTGGCAACCCCTTCTTTTCTTCCGCTTGTACTGAAACAGCCCTAGCCATGTTGTCAGAGCTAAGAATAGCTCAGCTACACGTTGAATCCCCATATTGCTTTGCGCTGCACTGAGCTCCACGCCCATCTACCCAGAGCACACTGGGGCTTGATTACTCTGCTGTGGAGAGGAGGAGGCCTGTAGAGATAAAACAAAGGCCTACTGAAAGCTCAAGGAGTGGAATATATGATGTTGCTCTTGGCCATTCATCCATCCCTGTACTGATGTTCCACTTGGCTGCATATTTCACACAGTAATAGTCATTTATATCCTAAATATAATGCAGGAAAGAGCCAAAACATTAAACCTCTTACAAAACCCATTATGAAGTGATTCCTTAAAAATGCATTTGGAGTTTAACAGAGCAGTCTACAGACAAAAGTTGGTCTTAAAGGCTTTAAGGTAAAAAACAACAGTGGATTGTTTTGTGCAAGGATACAAGAGGGCACTTGTGACAGATTCTTGGTTGTGTCCTCCCACCCAGTGTTTATTTGTTTGAGTAGTCCCATTATTAGAATATTTGTTACCTCATGTTAGATCATGCTTGACTTGTAGAAACTACAACTAAAGCGTAGAAACCTTCTTTCTATTATAAAGGATTAGAAAAGGGGTTTGACTTTCTTGTTTTAGAAAGCACTGAATCTATTCAGATGAAAGGTATTCACTTTTTTTAACATTTTATCAAGTCTTACTTCAGAGCGACAAACATTTGCATATGCAGCCTTTAAGTCTTTCACAGTAATTCATCACGTAACATGATCTGAAAAGGGAAATGAAAGCTCATCAATTGGCACAAAGGTTCACTGCAAAAAAAACTGATGTTTATTGTAGAGAAACACTGAGAACTACTGCTCTCATTATGGGTATAACCACTAACGGTTGTTTACAAAATAATACTGATAGGTCAGAATCTGAGAGCGAGAGAAAAGAAAAAAATGTGAAAAACAAAGCAACAAAAAAAAATCTGACATTTATCAATAAAATGTATAATCCAGTTAGCTTTTTACCATGTTGTTACCTAAACATTGGCTTCAACAGATTGCCTTTATGTCAACTCTTTTAACACACAGAAGGACCTTTTTTTAGTTGAGTGTCTTGCGCCCCCTGCTGTTCAGCTGCTGGAACAGTCACATTATCCTCAGATCTCAATGAGCTGTAGTTCCATAACTTACAGATCAGAGTCCTGGACTTGGTGGAAGAATGTGGGCAGGAAAAGAATTTCAATGAGGCTTCTCTCTCTGTGTCTCTGATTGAAGCCACTGATATTCAGTCAATTGATTAAAAAGCAGCTCAGTGACCAATTTGGTCTAATCTTTTGAATGTGCAGCAGGGTGGTGTTGAGTGTACAATGCAGTTGTTATATTAAAAAAAAATGCAATTATCAAAGGTAATGTTCTAACATAAAAACCTCCCCTAAGCTCTGCTTAATATACCAAGTTAATATCTTTAATGCAGACTTTCCCAGTTATGTTTTAAATAAGGTAAGTTTGGAAATACAGGAGGCTGTCTAGTCAGCCTGAGCATTTCAACCAAGTACAACTCCTCAAAAAAAAACATATAAAACCTCATTCACATCTTACAAACTCTATACATCCTTTCACTCGTAAATTCTCATACAGCATACTCAGTTTTAAGTGTCAGAATTTGTCGGCTTTTCAGTCGTTTTTGCTTTCTTTGACCCGTCTGTGATGTGCTCCCTTTTCCTCTTTTGTCTGTTCTTCTGCCCTTCCTCTTGTCTGAATTGATGCCTGTTGGGAAAAAAAGTCACATTCATATGCAGAGACCAGTGAAATGAATGTATTGAACTGAAAATTAAACTGAATATGTCTTTTTTATGTTTGGCTAGGGACAACAGATGAAATCAGCATCATCAGCCAAACAGCACCATGTAGAATAAAAAAGTCTGTTTGCAGTGTGCTTACACTCTCACTTTTGTACCATCCAGATGTAAGTATTTAGACTGCAGTAAGAGAGAATGCTGCTAGCTTTTTAATGCAGCTATGAATCAACAATGTGGATCCAAATTCCTCAGGAAGATTGCTATAGAAAGAAATAGGCTTTATGTAAAAAAAAAAATTAGATTCTTATAAAAAAACAAACAAAAAAAAACATCTGAATGAACTATCATACCCCATGTTTACATTTAGGGAATAACAATCTCAAATTAGTCATTTCCTCTGTTCACACAAACATACTCAAACAGGACATCAAACCTTAGGTTAGGGCCTGTAAGTGTGTAAACATGAATGGGATGGAGTGAGAAGAGTCATGGTTTGCATTCATTCTATATTAGTCTCAGGGGTAGTGAAGAGTGGTGTGATCTCACCTGGACTGCCAGCGTCGGCCGCTGTTCCAGACTCTACCAAAAGAGGGAAGCCAGTTGGCGTCTGTGTGTGAGCTGTGATCGAAGTTGGCTCCGACTCTGTTTGGTGGAAGCTTCCTCAGCTTCTCTTGCTCCTCTGGCAAAAGACGAATGAGGCCATTTTAATTATACTCCAATCCTTGTTTTGACTCTTTTACCTTAGGTCTACATGTGGTGTTGCATACGTGGTATTACATGGATAAAATCTTCGCATCACTGAGACTTACGAAGATCAAGATCAGAGACCAATATGTTCATACTGCTTAACTGCCATGATTTTCATAAGATACAGCAGTAGCATCAAAAAAGTCACAGAAACAGTAGAATCTAAGATGAGTTATAAATCACAGCTCCCAGGCAACCAATAACAGATAATTACTCAGCTCTCATGGAAATTATCATCGACGTTGGAGCATTTCTTTGAGCAGATGAACTGCTCAGCTGACAACAAATTTACATAACACACAACATGAAAAAAATCTGTGTGTGTGATTCCTACTCTGTTTGAGGAACTCTTGAAGCGATGGGCCAATCTCTACATTTGCTGTAGAATTGGAGGTCCCCTCCAGAGGATCGTCCTGGAGCCAAGGAGGGACGGCACCTACGACACAGAGAACCCATATGCTTACTCTTCCTGAAACCCATGCAAGAGGTGAAATGAGCCTGTAAATTCTGGAGACACTGGGTTTCTACACAAGCTTTGAAAAGTATGGAAAGCACAATAAGAAACTAGTATATGTTCTATTAATTCAAAGGGAACCCTTAATATACATGCACATGTGCCGTTTCTCTTTAGGATCATGTGACAGCTGGCAAAGCAATATTACTATAAGCACAACATATTTATCCACCAAACTCATCAAATGCAGAGAAGAGACTGACCTGGAAAACAGATGGAATGAATTTTAAAGCTAAAAGTGACTCATATTTAGCAGGATTTTTCAGACATGGCAAAGATTTATTTTTCTTACAAAAAAGCTGATTATAATAATTTAAAAATGTTTTTTCAAATGATGAAAATTTTTCTAAATAAAATTTATTTTTTGACTGTATTAATTATTATGTACAGAAAAACTCCAAAAATGCACACTCAGTATATCAGGCTATCACACAGTTATTAATAGAGGAGGCACCACAGTTTGTTAAAAGACATTATTACACTTTTGTAAAGTATAATATTAGGCTTACTAAGCTTCCGGGAAATAAACTGTGGTGCTATATGACACAGCAAAGACCATGTATGAGGTGATTGTTTAAACTACTGTCTGGTAAAAACACTGATCAGTAAGATAAGAGATGAGTTTATATACTTAACCATTGCATCTATTCATATATCACTGTACCTGTATGGACATTTCCACTGTTTGATGAATCCTGTAACAGAGATCAAATGAGATCATTGTGTTTGTGTAAAAAGACAAACAGTTAATTATTAAACACCTTCATAATGACAGCTGTCCGTCTACCTGATAGCCTATAAAAGTCAGGCCTTGTCCTGTTGCAGCCCACGGTGATTCCACCACTGAGTCCACAAAGCTGCTACCTGGCTGCTGGTCTGATCCCTGAGATGGAAACTGAGAGCTGTTCCCCAGACAACAAAGGGATCCCCAAACAAACAGATGTAATTTCAAGTGCTACTGATGATACAACGCAAAAAAAAAAAAAAAGAAAAAAAAGAAAAAAGGATGAAACATGACAGATAGACACTGTGTTACCTGACAGAATCCTCTGCAGACATGTCTGTGCCGTTGGGTCCATTGTACAACTCCGGCTCTGCGTCACGCTGATATTGATTCAGGAAAAGCCAACAGTGGTTCACAGAGGAAGTCTGAGCACTCATCGTGCGTCATCTCAGCTTTTATAATCACAATCCTCACACACGACTTTGCTCCAAATGTTAACACAAACCTCTCATTATTCACCATGCCCATCTAAATTTCCACTATAACCGTATGTAGAAAATTACTTTGTCCTTAAACCACCCTGGCCACCAGATACAAGGTTTCACCAGCCACAAATATTTTCAGAGTTAAACAGGTTCGCCAGAGGATCATTGCTTTGGCAGTTGCAATCATTTAGCTGGAGAATGGTGGCAATTCCCATTTTACATGCAACTCAACATGATGAAAGACAACAGTCAAGGCCAGAGTGATGGATACTGCCACTGCATCCTTGGAAAACAAACCTCTAAAAGAGACTGAAGGACCTCTTGACGATGCTTCTCCTGGGTCCGGATATAATCAGCTTGCTGCAGCCATGAAAAGAAAAACAAACAAAAAAGAGATCGCAACAGATTGCCATCAGAAGGTTGGTTAAAATGACGTTCCCTACGACACTTTGTAGCCATGCTAGTGGTTGTCTCAGAGTTGCTACCACAGCTATAGACTCTTCGTTGGTTAATCTTAAATTCATTTAAAAAAAAAAAAGAAGAAGCAATTTTGCATTACCTGTTTAATGAATTCATCCTCCTTCTCCACAAAGGATTCCAACACATTTGCCAGCTCAGATTTAAACCTAAACAAAAGCGAACAATGATCAACGCAAGGAATCTTTTATTTTCCAAACCAACTTCATTAATATAGACTTTTGGCTCACTGGACCTACCTCTCAGTTTCCTCCTCTGTGACGATGACCTTGTCTCTAAGCTTGGGGTCGGCCTTGTTGTCCCACCAAAACTTGTGTGTATTTTTCCTGTGTTCTGGGCTGAAACCAAGTACATTTGAAAGGTAAACCAGCAAAGAGGGGACAGAAGGAGTCGATCACAGAAAACTTGGGTTAAAAGTGTGATCATGTGAATTTTGACAAGCTCACAGACGTTCAGTTGCATGAAAATAGTTTTGGTACTTACGTGGCCATGTGTTCCAACAACCCTCCGTACAGCACAGTCATGTTGCCATCTGTAACGTTTCTATCAACTTCGAGCCCACAGCAGTAGCACCAGAATGTCTGCTTGGGCTGTGTGCAGTCAAACTTTTCAACTTGGGGCTTTTTAAGTGTTCGACGAGCTTCCTTCACCTGGGTGACAGAGGATGAAACAAACACAGAAAACATAAAAGTTGTACTAACTATAACAAAAACTGATGCGGTCTCATACAACAGCCCTGCAGTAAGTCCTGTATTATATTGGTTTATATCAACAGATGATCACCAATTATGTAAAAAAAAATAAAACAAGGAATTTAAGAATAAAATACCTTTGACTGAATAAATAATCAGTGCAATTGTTTGTGTGAAATAAATGATCTAATAGTGCAACCCTGCATCCTTTTAAGGTGGTATAGTGACTTGTTGGAGTTAGACTTACTGTAAAGGAAAAACAGGCAGCCATAAATCTGTGTGTGTGTGTGATGTGCATACTCTATACAGCAACATTTTACCATACCATGAAATAGTACATATAACAGAAACAAAAAAGAATACTGTAGTACATACCATGAGTTACAAAAATAATAATATATACTTATTATAAGGAGATGTAAGCAATACAATTCAATGTAACAGGTGTTAGACATGTCTGTACATTTACTACTAGAGTTACACTAAAATAAGTAGCCCAGGTTAGCAACATAATCTCGGACAGTTTGAACATGCGGAGACTGATTCTGTGATTTCTTATCTCGACATTGTCCCATCTGTTATTAGTCTGGTTAATGTTATAAATTCAATATCTTTGATGCACCTCGTAGTGGCCATTTTGTAGACGTCAAGCCCTAAATTACTACATATGTTAGTGAGCTTTAAAAATTTTGTGTTGTTGTGAAGCACAAGTTAGCAAACACAAAAGGCTAAAAAGTGTCAGTGTCACTCAAGAGGTGACACAACTTGATCATTTTGATTTCGACGACGGTTTACAGCTAGCACCAGGGAGCTAGCAGTGCGTAAATAGATAAAATCCATGAAGGTGGAAGAAAATGTGAGCACAAAAATACTCAAAATGCTAGATATTAGTGTGAATTGGCTGGCATAAACCTACTTACCTTTTCCAAGAATTTGAGAAGAACCACTCTAAGTCTGCTTTGATGACTTTTCCCGAAGATATGTCCCTTCCCGGTGAACGTTGTCTGCCTACATATGGCACAGTAATAGGCCCCCATTGATACGATGGGAGTAGTACACTACAGTATACTACAGCTAAGCTGACACGGGACTCGAGCTTAAACCAAACATCTCTATTATTATTATTATTTTTATTTTACTAATCGCAACTCAACTCACAAGCGTTGGTGGTCTTCTACCGGAAGCAATTCCGTCTCGATATGTTTCCCGACTGGAGACAAAGAGCCTAGGCGGAACTGACGTTAAACCTTTGTGACTATCGTGCCAGTTTGGAAAACTTGCTGCTAATCTTTGTTGATAATTTCCATCAGATCTTGCTGCATTTATGACTATTGGTTCTGCACATCCGATGGTAGTAAATAAAATTAGTTACGTTAACTGAATAGCGGAAACTATCTGCATTGTATGAGTTTATCGTCCCTGTGGAAATGTGCTTCTCAGACTTAAATGGAAATGTCTACAATCCAGTGTTTAAGGAAGTTGATCGAAGACAGACTAAGTGCTGCTGCTGAAGAAATATTTGGAGCTTTTAAAAAGACTATAGTAAAGTACGAGGATGAGATCGATCGTCATCGCAGGCTGTTCAAAGTTTGGGAACCTGAATTAAAGTTACACAGGATAGGTTTGTAAAACATAAACTATCTTAAAAAAAAAGGAAACGGGAGAATAACACATATCCCCACATATCGGTTTAAACATTGACTCTATTTAAATTTCTTGTACCTTGACATGTATAACCTGCTTATGTCCATTGTCCCTCCAGAGCTCCCACAGCAAAATATCGGTAAGGTGGAGGAGGAAGAGGTTCTTGCTGACCAGCAGCTCTTTAACCAGGAGAGGAGCTCCAGTTTGGACCAAGAGGAACCCAAACCTTCACAGATGAAAGAAGAAGAGGATGAACTCTTCACCAGCCAGGAAGGAGAGCAGCTTGTACTGAAGCAGGAGACTGATATGATATAGTTGATTCCTACTAACAAAGAAAGTATCCACAGTGAACCAGAAGCAAGCGACATCCAGCTCCCCTCTCACAACTCTCATAACTCTTAAATAGCTGAGAGCCAAGGACACAAAGGTGGCAAGAATGGAGACTCAACATCAATTGCAAATGCAGAGCCAAAGTCGAAGAAGAGACCTCGCAAAAGCAAAATTCACAGGAGCCATGTGTATAACCTGAGTACCTGCACAGGTAAAAATATGTTCCAGTGCGACACTTGTGGGAAAGATTTTAAGCGTAAGTCCCAATTAAATACACATCTGAGAGTCCACACAGGTGAGAAACCATATTCTTGTAAAACATGTGGGAAATATTTCAGATATAATAGTGGCTTGGTGGTCCACATGAGAAGCCACACAGGTGAGAGGCCACATTCTTGTGAAACATGTGGGAAATATTTCAGATATCATGGTGGCTTGATGGTCCACATGAGAACTCACACAGGTGAGAATCCATATTCTTGTGAAACATGTGGGAAATATTTCAGATATCATGGTGGCTTGATGGTCCACATGAGAACTCACACAGGTGAGAGGCCACATACTTGCGAAACTTGTGGGAAAGGTTTTATAAGTAGTAATGGCTTGTTGGTCCACATGAGGACGCACACAGGTGAGAGGCCGTATCCCTGCACCACTTGCGGGGCAAGATTTAGTAGCAAGTCAGTATTGAAAACACATGTGAGTGTCCACACAGGTGAGAAACCATACTCCTGTAAAATATGTGGGAAAAATTTCCAACTTGGCAGTGGCTACAAAGCCCACATGAGAATCCATACAGGTGAAAAGCTGTATACTTGCATAACATGTGGGAAAACTTTCAGACTTAGTAGTGAATTGATAGTCCACAATGGAAGATTCCACCCCGGAAGAGCCCACACTGGTGAGAAACCATATCCCTGCAACACTTGTGGGAAAAAATACTTAAGTGTGTCTCATTTGGAAAGACATATGAGCTCACACACAGGCAAGTAGCCTTGTATTTCAAGAATATATGGGAGATGGTTCAGTTGTAGCATCTCATGGCCAAAACACACAAGAACCCACAGAAGTGAATCTTTTGCATGAACTGCATCTCAGCAACTGTTTAAGTCTTAGTTAAATGCAGTTAATTGTCAAAAATGTTTTTTAAACTACCCTCATTATTATGAGGGTACATTATTACATTATTATTATTATCTATTACTCATATTTCTGTTTGCAGCAGTATTTCTTTATAACTATTCTTATCTCCTATCAGTGAATGCACAGTCCCTAACAATATAAATGACTGACCTCATAAATCATTATTCTTTTTTACTATTTGTATACACTACCTCAGTTATATGAGTCAATTATGAACTCTGAGCTGAGATGTTGGGCCACTTGCAGTATGATGTCATCTTGCAAACTACGGTCTCTTTGTGTCTACAGCCTTTCATTTGATATTTTCATATAGTTCTTGATATAATTGTTTTCATTTTAGGCTTTAGAGAAGATACCCAAATTGTAATGATGCACTACATGGTGCTGTCAAAGAATATTGTTAATGTAATGTTTTTTGATGCTGGTTATTCAGACTGATATTCCACATTGAGGGACTGAATGATTAGCTTAAAAACTACAGGGCAATATCAACCCAGGTGATTGGTGTATAAATAGCACCGAAATGAAGCTGGAAAATGAATTGCTGTTATTTCATGTGCTTATTTCAATATTGTGATTTTACGGCATATGGTAATAACATAAAAATACCAGATTGACTTTGAATTGTAAAACTATAAGCAAATTATGTGAGAATTTTAGGCCATTGGTTCCTTCTGAAACAACATCATGTCACTTTTTGCAAATATCCCTCTAGTTATAGTGATGAACTGGACGGGCCTATAGGTCAGCATGTAAAGCTGCTACCTTTTACCCTGGTTGGCATGCCAAGCTCTGTACACTGGTCTCTCACTGGACTGGTTGTTATTGTTGGTAATTTTGGGTAATTTTATTTGCATAATACGTAAAATCATAATGTGCTAACATGGCTGTGAAATAAATGTGCAACAAAAATTGTTATTTCTTTATAAGATGTGCATCAAAACGGTTCGAAATGGAGACAGTCAATTACAAGTGATTTGAACATTTACTTTAGTACAGTATTTGTAGATGAATTTTCCACTTTTGGTTTTGATGAGGACAAAATATCAATGAAGAGATAAATGTCAACTCAACTAGGCAGATAGTTCCTATGCATAGTTTAAAGACAAAAAAGACCTCTGTCATTGCCAATTTTAAATTACACAAATAACACAAATAACTACATTTGTAAACAAAGTATGTTGAACAAAATAACACCTCATTTCCACTGCTTGAACTCCTACTCACAAGGGAAGTGATGCCAGAGGAGCCACACAGGAGAGAAACCATATTCCTGCGACTCTGCGGGAGCGATATTTTCTTTATGCCAAAGTTTTGAACATGAAATGTCTTAGTTTCATTCAGTACACTGTATGACTACAAATGTGGCTGCTAGCATCTGAAAAATAACAGGTTGAGTGATATGTTAGTGATGTGTCACTCTCAAAGGAAATGTTGTAATATTACAATGCAATACCAAACTACTTCTCCTGACTCTGAAAAGAAAGCAAAATCATTATTACAGAAAAAATACGACATGCAAGTTTCTAGAAATTGGATGATGAATGGTTCTGTCAGTAAAAACCATTCACTTCAGATAAATGTAAGGTACACAAACACAGTAAATGTCGCTCAGGTGTGAAATAATGTTTGTAATAAGAGACAGAAACTGAAAAGCATTTTTCTAAAAGGTTACTGTATGGAGGTTATTTATATATTAAAAGAGGTTACCATGAGAATTTGGAGATTAACAAATGGAGGTAAGATGATGTCAGTGTACGAGGAGCAGATCGTCCGTCAGCGCAGACTGCTGGACATAATAAATATTAGGGGGAGTTGAAATATACAAAGATTTATAACAGGGGTCTGTCCATAACTGGGGTTTTTGGACTGTTGGCTGGTGAAAGCAAGCATCTTGAAGATGCCATATTGGGTTCTGGGAAATTGTGAGGGGCTTTGTTTTCACTTGTTACAATATGATTATATCATTGCATTTTATACTCTTGTATTTCAGTTTTTTTTTTTATTTTTTAATGATACATAATTATATTATTGTATTTTATGTTTCAGGTGTTTTTTCACCAGAAGTTTTTTTCAACTTTTTCTTAGATAATATGTAATTACATTCTTGTTGTGAGTATATCATTCAGGTATAAGCAGTTATTATAGTGTACAACCACAGCATAAAATTCAGTTTTTTAGTAGAGCCTTATTTTTGTCATTTTACAGTGTGTATTTAAAACCTATTTACTATGTAGGTGGTACACACATAATAGTAAAAAAAAAAAAGTGTAACGTTTAAGCATAGCGGAACCTTGTTCTTTTATACGGAGTAACACTATATTGAGTCCGGCGGAAGTTAAACACTGCAGACAGGCGAGTGTCAAATATCAGTGTTATTGTTTAACGACTAGTCGACACCACCGTCTGTCACGTTTTTTTCTGTTACACTAAAGAAATGTCGTCAGTTCATTGCTTGAAAAACTTTGTCAGCGAGCGACTAACCGCTGCTGCTGAAGAAATATTTGGGGTCATTGAAAAAACTTTATCAGTGTACGAGAAGGAGATTGTTCGTCAGCGCAGACTGTTGGATGTCGTCCTGAAGCCCGAGATAAAACTACAAAGGACCGGTGTGTAAAACAGTGTTTCTTTAAGCTGACTGATAAAATACTGGGTCAGACATTTCTGTTTCTATTCCCATTCAACCGACCGTATTTGAACAGCAGTGCGAGCACAATCAGGACAGACATAAGACATAGACATATTTCTGTTCCCCACTCACTCTCTTAACGAAAGGTGAGAATTTTAAAACACCTACATATATATAACAAACTAATCCAGACCTGCAAATCAGGTAACTTAATACAGACCTTGATCTGTTGCAATATGTTCTATATATTCATTCAACACACAAACTCCGTCAAAATGTCAACATTCTTCATTTACAATTAAAACACTTTATTTGTCCTCAGCAATGTGAGGCCAGCAATCTAAGATGTGTTGACTTGAGGGCAGCTAGACTTGGTTGTAGATACTTTACATAGATACTTAATGTTTGAAGAACTGACTTAAAAGGCTGACTGTTTACTCTAGAAATAGTTCAGAACTGAGGGAGCCTCTTGGGTGAGAGGTGAAACGTCTTCAAGTATCTACATCAAAGTACTTTTGCCCTTGATTCAACTCTTCGTGGATAACCATGACCTGGATGAATGAAAATATTCACAGACATCTTGAGGCAAGTCAGTTTCCAAACAAGTGCCCTCAGACAATTCATTTACATGCATAAAAACAATTTAAAAATACAAATATTAGAAAGAGTTGAAATACACAAAGATTTACAACAGTGACCTGTCCATAACTGGGGGTTGGACTGTTGCTTGGTCAAAACAAGCATCTTCAAGATGTAAAAACTGGGTTCTTTTTTTCCCTTTTAATTTTTACATTTAACTAGACTGAATGATTAATTTAGAAAAGTAATCTGCAGATTATTCAGTAATGAAAATAGTTAATAGAATAAACTCTATTTTGGACACTTATGCTAAAGAGTCTTTCCTTTCTCTTTCCCTCCAGAGCTCCCACAGCTACATGTCCGTAAGGAGGAGGTTCTCGCTGACCGGCAGCTAAGTAACCAGGAGACGGACTCCAGTCTGGACCCAGAGGCTCCACAGATTAAAGAGGAGCAGGAGGAACTCTGCAGCAGTCAGGACGGGGAGCAGGGTGTACTGGAGCAGGACGCTGAAGCCTTTAAGTTGAGTCCTACTTATGATGGAAGTGACCACAGCGAAGATCAGACTGTACTTTTTGATAATAATCAAACTCACAATGCATCAGAGATGGAACCTCTGTCCAGCATTTCCTGTGAAAGGCTGCAATATGACTCCGACAGAAATCACTCTTTAGCCACAGAACCGCACAGTGACCACAGCCTGCATGTGAGAACAGGTCAGAAGCAGTATATGTGCGCCATTTGTCGGAAAAGTTTCAAAATTACAGACTTGAAATTGCACATGAAAATTCACACAGGCGAGAAAACTTTCCGTTGCGAGTACTGCAACAAGGAGTTTGCTTTCAGTTCATCTCTGTTGCGGCATCTCCGAGTGCACACAGGGGAGAAACCTTATGAATGTCGTTTGTGCAGGAAAAGATTTAATGACAGCACGACATTGAAAGTCCACTACAGAATCCACACAGGTGAAAAGCCCTATAAATGCAAGACGTGTGAAAGAGCTTTCACCACCTCCTCGAACCTGAAGAAGCACATGGCTATATATACTAAAGTTGCAGATGGTAGACATGGTACTGTATGAAAAATTGTCCTGAAAGCCACAGTGAAATGGTGTAGGCTGTTACTTCCCTTTAATGAATGTTGTGTTGGGACATAATGTGGAATGGGGTTATCACCTGATATCACTAGCATCAATAAAATTCAGATGTTGTCAAATATGTACAGGTTGTTTCCCTTTGAATTACAATGGCACATAATCAGTAAGTGTACAAACAAATGTCTCATGATATAGATTTGCTAATATTATTATCTACTAGAAGGCACATGATGCCCACTGTAATGTATGATATAGAGAACAATGTGCTAGTATAAGGTAAACTCATGAAAACAGCTTTACAGCAACAAGGGCACACATTAATTCACAATAGTATTTTCAACAATTCAATACATAATGTTCGAGACAGTATAACTAATAGTATAAACTATTAGTTGTTTTATCGGTTTATTGATTGACAGAAAATTAATCAGAAACTTTTTTGATAACTGAGTCACATTTCAAGAAAAAATGCCAAACATTAGGTGGTACCAGCTTCACCAATGTGAGGATTTAATGCTCGGAGGACAAGATACTGTCTTAATGTCTTCTGTGTTTCATTTTTTTGGTTGTGGTGGTTTATGGTTATTAACTGCTTTTAAGTCAACAAAAACTATTAATAAATGAAGACTCTTCTCCCCCAGTATTTTATTGGCACTGTGGAGTAGACTTTCATACATAACTTAGAAATAGAATACAATGTCCAGAAAATACGATTAAATAATTAATTCAATCAGTGCAATATGACACATCTACATGATAAAAGAAAATCAGATATCTCTGTTATTTTTTCTAAGGGTTTCATTACATTAGAATGACCAAAATCCTGTACAGATTTGCTTGAGGAGAGGTAAATAAAATTGGAGAAAAAAGGACCCATGAAGTGATGCAGTATTTATTTTTTATTTTTTGAGTTAAACATTCTTTAGATTAGTTTGTTTTTCAATTAATATTTTTTTTATAGGAGGGAAATTCATATTTTGTATTTTGTCTGCCATTTTGCTTCTACCCACATAGTTTAAATTGGTAGTAACTTGTTATTGATACATTGACATCTTGCGATTGATAAACCCATGTGGTTGAGATTCTGACAGCAAGAGCCATCATCTCTTTCTCAAACAATTAATTCATACAGACATATGACATGATGCCCTTGAAGAAATATCAATAAGAAATTTGCAATTGCAGTCGTGTGTTGATACAATAGGTAGACAGCCTTGCACACCTTTATAATGAATAGCTTGATTCATGAACTGGTGATGTCATTCATTGATAAGAAGGTTAAGCCAGTAGTGCTAATTTTCTCAGACTGGTCTATACTGAGATTTTTCCACTGCAACACCAACATCTGCAGTAGGCGCGTTCCCTTTAAATCGGAGCAACATCATATTGTGTCCGGCGGAAGTAAACATACAATCACAGCGAAGCGGATTTCAGTTCAGTTGGCTTGTTTAGCACATACGTCAAATGGTTTATCTTTATCTTCCATAGTATCTCATGTCCAGCTGATTGAGTGAAAATGTCTTCAGGTTTGTGTTTGAGGAAGTTTGTCAGCGAGCGACTGACCGCAGCTGCTGAGGAAATATTAGGAGTCTTTGAACAAACGATGTCAGTGTACGAGGAGGAGATCGTCCGTCAGCGCAGACTGCTGGACATCTTCCTGAAGCCGGAGATAAGATTACGCAAGAGAGGTTTGTCATGTTACACTGTCCTTGGCTATAACATGGACGAATTCATATACTTGTTCCTACATTCAAACGCTTAGCCTACTGGACAGCACTTTCTGATAAGGCGGCTTTAATATGGGATGTTAACATTTTAATTAATTGTTTTTATCACTGGTTAATGAATAATTTACTAATTCTAAATTGGTAAATCATAAGCCATAAATAAAAAACATTCTTCCGCCGCTGGAGGATTCATATCTTTACATCAGTGCTTTTGTCCTTCCCTTCAGACATCTCACGGTCATCTGTCTATAATAAGGAGGTTCTCCTGGACCAACAGAAGCTCTTTAACCAGGTGAGGAACTGCAGTCTGAACCACGAGGTACCCGAGGCTTCACAGATTAAAGAGGAGCGGGAGGAGCTCTGCACCATTCAGGACAGAGAGCAGCTTATACTGGAGCAGGAGACAAATTTGTTAAGGCCTGCTTGTGATGGAAGTGATTATATGGAAGATCAGACTCTGCTTTTGGATCCTGACCAGCCTCAGAGTGCAGCAGAAAAAGAGCCACTGACCAACATCTCGGTTATAGTGATAAAATCTGAATCTGACAGAGAGGGCTCAGGTGAATCAGTACCAAACGGTGAGCACCAGCTTTCTCATAATTCTGACACAGCTGAAAGCCAAGACCATGAAAGAGGAAACCAAGGGAATGCAAGTACTGATCACAAACCAGAGAACAAGCATTTCAAATGTATATTTTGCAATGAGGAGTTTCATGATTACTTAAAATTAAAACTTCACAAAAGGACCCACACTGGTGAAAAATGTTTTAATTGTGACACCTGTGGGAAAGGGTTTACCCAGGAGGCTCTGGTGAGGAAACACATGATGACTCACACAGGGGTAAAGCCCTTCAGATGCAGAGTTTGTGGAAAGGAATTCAACTGTCAGTCAAACAGCGTCACCCATATGAGAATTCACACTGGTGAGAAGCCGCACACTTGTTCAACCTGCGGGAAAAGTTTCAGCCGCGGAGCAGATCTGAGGAGGCACACCCGGACTCACACAGGGGAGAAGCCCTACAGCTGTGTCCACTGCGGGAGGGAGTTTTCTTACCACTCATCCCTCACAAATCATGTCCGAGTGCATACAGGGGAGAAGCCCTATAAATGTATTTGGTGTGGGAAGAGGTTTGCTGTCAGCACAACGTTGAAAATACACACCAGAGTCCATACAGGGGAAAAGCCGTATAAATGCAACTTTTGTGGGAAGAATTTTGCTCATAACACAGGACTGAGGTTTCACAAAAGGATCCATGCAAGGGAGAAACCACAGAGCTGAATTTCCTTTTGAGCTAAGGTTAAAAAAGTTCAAAAATTTAGATTAGACTGTGCATGTTAGAAGTGTTATAGAAAAGTGACCCTGACCCTGTAATATTCAAGATTTGTGGTTAAAACAGACTCAGAGGCTTACTGAGACATCAGACTCACATGTAAAATTGTCACATCACATTAATGCAGTCAGGGCTGAGTTTGGCTTTTAGCTCAGTGCTTATGAGGTACATCATCTTAGTATCACTTGCTGCAGTGATAACCCACTATGCAGTAGGTTATTTACAAAAAATGATAATGAATCTAAATGTACAGAGGGTCTGCTTCTTTACCATCCTTTAACATCTACAAGAAATGTGTCTCTATATGTACAGGATCCCTATATGGACAAATACGATTCAAATCAAGGTGATTAAACTTTTTCTTACCTACACCTTTCTTTACGAACTATTTACTGGTCTATTGCCTTTGAAATTATTTCTCTCTTCTACTTGTGTAGGTATTTACTGGCACACAATCAGAATATGTTTGAATAATAATCCAGATATTACTGTATCATATGCTTTTCAGTCTATTTATTGTTGGATCTCATGTGCATGTCAGACTAAAGTTGAGGTCTTGAAATGTACACACTCCAAATATGCCTGTTTATAATCTCTATGGTGTAAGAGTCAAAATTATTCAAAGATATAACACGTGCAGAATCAGCTACACAAAAGTAAATGCATTACAATGCAGCTATTGGTTCAAGTTCAGGTAACCCTTTTTTTTTTTATAATTTAGTATATATTTTGGTCGGATATTCTTTGAAGCCAAAATTTGGAATGGATAATCATAATCCACAGACTATGATTCTCATTATATTTATGACCCCTAATTTTAATGTAGCAGCATGACAGAGCCTTTCTGACTTTAACTGGACAAAAAGACTGAATTTGTTCCTTCCATAACTTTTTCTTTGTTAGAAAATTAGTCAGGAGAGCTATAGCACAGACTGTTTACCTGTATGTTGTGTTTGAGCAAAACTATGATTTTCAGACATGATCTGAAAATTCCATCAGAAATTTCTCTTGTGCAGAAACAGTCGAAGACATAGACATATATGTATTATGTATTATGTATATATACATTACACCAAAAATAAAGACGAAATATTTAATTTTGACATATTTAAGTATGGATAGAATTTATTGCTATTATATAATGAAGTCTAGGAAGATGAAAGAAAGCTGGAAGAAGCAATAATTATTCCCATAAGTAAACCCTGGAAAGATGCTTATAAACTTACAAACAGGTGACGAATGATACGTGCAGGTTATTGCACAATATGAGTTTTAAGTAAATTAATATAAAGTGATTTGTAGATGTAATGGTTTGAACCCGGTTGAACCTGAATGCCATATATTCCAGGCCAGTAGGTGGCAGTATGCGCTACAGCGCATGTTGTTTACTTCGGCAAATGCGGAAGTAGGAAAACTGAGAACGCAACTTCAGTTTGCTCAAAGAGTTTGATGAAGTTTTAGCAAAAGAAAGTATCTCAATTTTAATAATTCAACAATGTCTTCTGTCCAAAGTATGCGACAGTTTGTCTGTGATCGACTCACTGCGGCTGCGCAAGAAATATTGGGAGCCTTTGAAAAGAGAGTGGAAGATTACGAGACAGAAATCGCTCGACAACGCAGACTGTTGGAAACCGTTTTGACGCCAGAGATAAAGTTACAGCACACAGGTTGGTAAAATTAAAAAGTTAGTCTCTAATGAATTTAGTTCTGTGTTAAACAGGCGATGGTACAGGTCCACATTTTATTTTTTAGCTGTGCCTTGCCTCATCTTCTAAACAGACCAGTTTGACAGGTGTAACGAAACATGTTTTCCAGAGTAAAGTGTTGTATGTAGCATCTTGCTAAGAAAATGTGTGTCTAGATTGTTATTGCACTTTCATATGCGTACTGTTTTAAGCAAACACTATTACAGCACATGTTATACACATGGTGCCAAATACACGCGGAAGTCGCCATCGTCATAAACCCCTGAAGGGCAATAATATTCAGTAACTGACAGATATTAAAGCCTCTCTTCATCCTACCTATTGCTGTTAAAGCATAGGCGAGGTATGTGGGCAGGAGAGGAAGAACAAATCTTTTGAAGTTAATATCAGTACATGTAGCAGGTGAGTTGCACCTGCTGAGGTTGATAAGTGTCGAAATCCTGTCCTAGAAATGATAGAAATACTGTATGACACTGTACAAAACATTATAGGAAAAGTATTGTCTTATTGCTGAGTTGTTAGCTATAAAATATATCTAAACTAAGTCATTACTTTTATTGTGGGCCTAAAATGTGTACTAAGCTATATAGTGAAGGTAGATTGAAAATAGTGAAAAATAGACTAAAAATAAATATTGGATCATAAAACATAGTCAGGACAGCAAAGGGAAGTGAAGGGCTCACACAATACTTGCACCTCAGTATGGAAATGTATTAATTGCGTGTAATTAGTGATCAAATTTTGTCTCTGTGGTACGATGTTGTACAATCATCGAGTCAGACATTGGGGGCATGCCAAGTTTGATGTCACTGTGGCTCAGTAGCATGTCAGATTTAATATTTTATGTGAACTAAAAATCATAACCCTAAATACCCAACAAGTTTAAAAACTGTGGCAATCAATGTGTCTTGCATTCCCCTTGGAAAGGTAGCTTCTGTGTTTCCAATTTGCATTGCTCATAAAAGACTATCTTATTCACAACTGTTATATGCAGACAAATTTTCATCACTGTCCCATTTCTTTGTTCCTCTGCCTAGAGCTCTCCCAGACATCTGTCCGTAAAGAGGAGGAGGTTCTCCTGGACCACCAGCAGCACAGTAACCAAGAGACGAACCCCAGTCTGATCCAACCAGATCCTTTACCAGTAAAAGAGGAACATGAGGAAATGCGCATCAGTCAAGAACGACGGCAGCTTGTACAGCAACAAGAGACTGATGCCTCTAAGACTCCCACTTGTGAGGGATGCGTCTGCAGTGATCAGTCTCGGCCTTTGGACACTGACCAACCTCGGACTACAGCAAATACAGATCCTCAACAAGGCATCTCAAACAAAGATGCGTTATCTGGATCTGACAGGGAGAGTTCTTCAGTATCAGCACCAAACAATGACCAGCGCATCCTTTCTCATAACTCTTGTGTAACTGAGAGCCAAGATGCCATAACTTCTAACCAAGGAAGTGCAACACCAAATAGACATACTGAGTCAACACCAAATGAGAAAGGCAATGAGGAGAACACAGGATCAGTTAGAAATACTGATCAAACATTAGAAGAGAAAAGCATTGATGGGAACACAACATCAGCAACAAGTACTAAGCAAACCTCGGATAAGAAAAGTAATGATGAGAACACAGCATTAACCAGTAGTACCAAGGTAACACAGACTGAGAAATGTAACAATGAGACTACAACATCAACTAGAAGTACTGAGTCAACACCAAATAAGAGACACGATAATGGACAAACATCAGCTACAAGTACTGAGCTAACACCATATCAGAAACAGAACTTTGAGAACACAACATCACCTAAAAGTACTAAACCAAATAAGAAATGTAACAGTAAGAACACCATATCAACTACAGGAACCCAGCTAACACTAAATGAGAAATGTAATGATGAGAACCCAACATCAAAAGGAAATGGTGAACAGACATCAAATAAGAAAAGCCAAGATAGGAGATCAACCTCAACTGGACGTGTTGAGTCATCACCAAATGAGAAAGGCAACGATAGCAACACAACGTCAACCAGAAGTACAGAGCTAACACCAAATGAGAATTGTAACAAGGAGGCTACATCATCAACTGGAAGTACTGAAATTACACCAAACAGGATTCATAATGATGAGACAACTGAACCAACAACAGAGAAAACAACAGCTACTGAAAGTATTGATCCAACACCAAATGAGAAACCTGATGATGGGAACATAACATCAAACAAAATTACAGAGATATCACCAACCAAGACAGGCAACAATGAGAACACAGCACCAACTGAGAGTACTGATCCAACACTAGATAAGAAATCTAATGACGAAAACACAACCACAACTACATATACTGCATCAGTAGAAAAAAGAGACCCGGAAGGAAAAGAACACAAGACACCAAGCAAACCCAATGACGGGAAAGCCACATCAACTTCCAGTACTAAACCAACACTAAGTAAGAAACGCAACAATGAGACAACATTAAACAGAAGTACAAAATCAACACCAAATAAGAATTGTATTAAAGAAAACACAAGTGCTGAGCCAACCCCTAATAAGAAATCCAGTGATGAGAAAACATCGACCACAAGTACTGAACCAACAGCACATAAGAAACGTAATGATAGGAAAACAACACCTACTGAAAGTATTGAGCCAACACCAAATGAGGATGATGGGAACACAACATCAAACAAAAGTACAGAGATAACACCAAACAAGAAAAGAAATAACAAGAGCACAGCATCAATTGAAAATACTGACCTAACACCAAATAAGAAACCTAATGATGAAAACACAACAGCTAAAAGAAATACTGCATCAACACAAAATAGAGACCCTAAAGAAAAAGAACAAAAGACACAAAAGAAACGCAACGATGAGACAACATCAGACATAAGTACAAAATCAACACCAAATAAGAATCGTAGCAGAAGGAGCACAACATCAACTAGAAGTAATGAGCTAACCCCGAATAAGAAACCCAATGATGGGAAAAAATCAACCACATGCACTGAACCAAGACCAGATAGGAAACGCAGCGAGAGGAAAACAACTTCTAGTGAAAGTATTGAATCAACACCAAATAAGAAACCCAATGATGTAAACACAAGGTCTACAAGAAGTAAGCAGGCAACACTAAATAAGAGACAAAAGCATGGGAACACAACACCAAATGAAAGTACTGATGCAACACCAAATAAGAGACGAAAGAATGACAATACAACATCGGAGTTGACACAAAGTGAGAAACGTAACAATAAGAGCGCAACATCAAATGGAAGTGCACCCCCAGCACAAAACAGGAAAGATGGGAACACGTCAAGCGGCAGTAATGAAGATGAAGACAACCCTTACAAGTGTGACCGGTGCGGTAAAGTGATGACTAATTTCAAAAACTATAAATTTCATATGAAATCCCACACTGTTGAAAAGACTTTCAAATGCGATACTTGTGGTAAAATGTTCAGGGAGAGCTGGGATTTGAATAAACATTTAGTAATTCACTCTGTTGAAAAGCCTTTCAAGTGCAAAGTTTGCGGAAACGGATTCAACCGACGATACAATCTCGACCTGCACCTTAGGGTTCACACCGGGGAAAAGCCGTACAAATGCAACATCTGTGACAAAAGCTTCAGCGCATGTGTGAATATGAAGAAGCACATGAGAATTCACACAGGTGAGAAGCCGTACACATGCAGCGACTGCGGGAAGGAGTTTGCAGATTCTTCGTCTTTCAAAAATCATCTGCGAGTTCATACAGGCGAAAAGCCCTTTAAGTGTTCCCACTGCAAGAGAAAATTTGCCACCAGGACGACTTTGACAAGGCACATCAGAACACACACAGGTGAAAAGCCTTATAAGTGCAATGTGTGTGAGAAGGTGTTTGCCCACAGAACAGACCTGAAAGGACATATGAGGACACATACAGGAGAGAAGCCTTACAAATGTAGTACATGTGGAGAACAGTTCTCCACCTGGTCAAAACTCCACAAACACAAACATGTCCACACAAGTGATGGACAAAGCTCCTCTGCTTAAAAAGCGAATGAATTACACTAAAGTAGAACTGTTACTGGAATTTTAAGTTTTTATTTTGTTTTGAAGAGACTACTTCACTGTTTTAGTGTTGCACTCCAGACATATTGTCTTTTTTATTTGATACATTCCTCTTCCTTGTCAAAATCTGGTGCCTACGTTACGCACAATGCACAATGTACAATGCAACACAATCACGGCTAATAAGGCACTCTGGAGCCGCTGGCCTTAAGCAGACCCTCACACCCTTAGATTTTTTACATTTTCAGTCTTGTAGTCTTCAACCCCAACAGACACTGCCTCACATCAGACCTAACACAAAAAGATCTATATTATTTTTTCACATATGCAATAATACTTCCCATCTGTAAACAGACTGTTGTGTAAAATTGGTGGAGTTCCCCTTTTTAGGTTTTTGGTTTTTACTTCCTTTATCTGGACTGTAAATAACAAGATGCCCATTTAGGTGTAGAATAATGATTGTTTTACAGATTAATTGTAAAATTCTGTAAATACGTTTATTTTTAATATTGGAGTTTAGATTTTCATAAAGCATCTAAAAACTGGGATGTTCATAAGAGCTAAATCCCACAGTTTTGTGCCTTGTAAAGTTGTTTTTATACACAAATTCTTGACTAATTCTTAATTAAAATTGGTTAATCCATTTTATCATATTGTTTTAATCAGATTTAATGTTATTGATTTTTTCAAACAAACAAGGAAGAGAAACTGCGTCTTAGTTGTCCAAGTGCCTTAATTCCTTGACTTTTGGAAAATTAGTTTGTTTTGAAATAAATTCTTTCCTAATTTATTGAAATATTTCTAATCACAGTTTGAGAAAGTTAACCAAAGAGCAACTAACTACTACTGTGGGAAATATTAGGCGTTTGTGAGCAGATAATAGTTGTGTAAGAGGAGGAGATCATTTGTCGGTGCAGACTGCTGGATATCCGTTTGAAGCCTGAGATGAAGCTGCACAGGACAGATCTGTGAGATACCTTTGTTACTGTTAGATTATTCTGACTTGTATGAGATGTAAAACCAACAGTTTAAAGTTGAATATTTTACACATGAACCAACTGGGATTCAGTGGTTGTTACAGGTTCATCCTGTTTGGTATACTGTCTAAATAAAGTATTACTGCCTTAATGCTCACTTGTCAATTCATGAAAAATTAAATTCATGTTTTATAAAAACACCTCAAAATGTTAGATATTTTTATTGTCTGTCAAACAAGTTCAGTTGAGTTTTGTGTGAAATTGAGTTAAGGTGAAGTTTTTTTTGTAGGTTAAGGCCAGTCCTGATTTTGATCTGAAGTAAGTCTAATGCAAGTAAGACAGTTTCACAGAAACATGGTAATTATGCCAAAAAGTTAAGCTCACCTGAACCTTTTTTTTAATTTCTTTGGTATGGAACTATTATCTACAATAAGAGTAAAATTTTTTATGTATTGAAATTGTCACATGTTAAAATGTTAACACAAGTAAACATGAACAAAAACTTTTTTTCAGTGTTTATTGGGGATGAGAAGAGAAAAGAAAAGAAAGGAAGGGAAAAGAAAAGAAAAAACCCAACCGTTCCCACCATGAGCAAGCACTTGGGCGACAGTGGAGAGGAAAAACTGCCTTTCAACGGGAAGAAACCTCTGGCAGAACCGGACTCAGGGTGGGTGGCCATCTGCCTCGGCTGGTTGGGTTGAAGGGAAAGAAATGGGGGGTGGTGGATGGGTGTTAAGGTGCCTCGGGAGGGATCTCAAGACTGAAACTGCATTTTAAGTGGCTGATCCGTGATGTCGCAGACCATTCAAACGTGTCGCATGTCCTTCAGATGTAGGACAAGAGCCCTATTGGACAAAGGACACTTATTTGTCCCTTGTCCAATGAGCTGTCCTGTATGTATGACTATTACAAGTTGAAGGTGAACTGCGGTATGTTGATTTCTGGTTGGGGGTTTCCTTGTGCATAGCCGAGCCTCTCATATCTGATTTGGAGGGCACTGTGGGTTTTAAGCAGCTCACAAAAATTATGATTACTGGCACAGTACTTCTTCCCCAGGTCTGTGTGTTCTGTTTGCAGACTGTGTAAAGCCTGTAATGCCTCATCTAGAGCAACTTTCTTCTCACTGAGCCTGAGCTCAGTGTCATTGATGTGTCTGGATTGAAAGTTTGACTCTGCCAGCTGTTGTTCATGAAGTCTGGATAAGCTGTCCTGAGTTTTCTGGAGGGCCACAGCCAGTTTCTGTCGTTCCTCCAGTAACTCTGTCTGCTTGATCAAAGCTTCCTTGAGCTCCACACGGTACTTCTCACACATGGTCTTTACCTTTTCAAGAGTAGAGGCACCTTGATCGGCTCTTTGCTGCAAGTCAGAACTTCGTGTCTTTTCCTGTTTCAGGGCATCTTCAAGTTCGGCTTGTCTTGTCTTGCTCTCTGACTGATGTGCTTTGAGGTCATCTACCATGTACTGGAGCTGAGCAATGGTAGCTCGATTCTCAGAGATTTTATTTTTATGAAAGTTTGACTCTTCCAGCTGTTGTCGCTGAAGTGTGGATAAGCTGTCCTGAGTTTTCTGGAGGGTCACAGCCAGCTCCTGCCGTTCGCCCAGTGTTTCTATCTGCTTGTTCAAAGCTTCCTCAAACTTGACACAGTACTTCTCACACGCGGTCCTTTCTTCTACAAGAGAAGAGGCCATTTCATTGGATCTCTGCAGCAAGTTAGAGTTGTGTGTTTTTTCCTGTTTCAGGGCATCTTCAAGTTCGGCTTGTCTTGTCTTGGCTTCTGACTGACGTGCTTTGAAGTCATCTACCATGTACTCGAGCCTAGCAATGGTAGCTTGATTATCATTCTTTTGATTTTTCCTCATTTCTTCATGGGACTCACGGAGAGACTGGTGTTTACTCACTATTATGTCATATTTTGTCTCCATGGCCATGAATTTAGTCCTGATATCTGCATTCTCCATCTTTAGTGTCTGCATGTCGTACTTCTTGCCCTCTAAGGATGCAGAGGCCTTTTTGAGCCGAGTCTTGCTCTTTTCTAAAGCCACAGTCATTTCAAAGAGCTCTGTCTCTTGCTTCTTTATCATTTCATGTGCTCTCAAGAAACAACTTTTCTCCTTCTTGACTGCCTCCTCAAGTCTGCTGCAAGCTTCTCTGTCTTCCTGGAGCTGCTTTTGAACAAACTGTACCTCATTTAAAGCATCCTCAAGTTCACCTTGAAGCCTCTTGTTCTTAGAAGCCAGTTGTTGGTTTTCACGAGTCAGACGATCTAGCTCTTCTGCTTCCTTCTGCTGCCGGGAGACAGCAGCCTGGAGTTTGTAGTTTTTCATTTGTTCCTCTTTGAGGTCTGAGGCCCACTGGTCAAGTTTCACCTGCAGTGAGGAAACAGTATTGTCCTTGGCTTCAAGGCCACTTTGAAGATTCTGAATAGTGAAGCGCAGGCATTGAATCTCATTGTCTTTTTCAAGACTTTCCTTCTGTTGCTCGATGAGTTGGTCTCCTAGTGCCTTGATATTGGCACAATTCGCCTTATCACGCTTTCTTATTTCTTTTTTGTGCTGATGAGAGGACACCTCCAGATCATTTTTGAGTTTCTCAATCACCAGTTTGTCCTCTTCATGATCAGCTGTCATTTTACTTATTTTGTGTTGAAGCTTTGAATTCCTATGCCTGTGCTCTTTCCGTGAACTCTTAAGATCAGCTACTTGTGTCTTCATGTGCTCCAGTTCAACATGAAGACTGGCTTTTTCATCTTGTTCCTCCTTCAAAGCCTTTGAAAGAGCATCTTTTTCTTTTTGCTCCTGCTCTAGGGCTTCTTTCTGTTGAACCTGATCTCTTTTCATCATCTCCAACTCCTCTTCAAGAGCAGTGCTGGCTTGTCTTTCCTCCTCCTCCTCGTCCTCTTGAAGACCACCAGAGTTCTCTGAGTTATCAGATTCATTTGTCTGTGACACATAAAGAGATTATTAGTTTGTTGTTAATACTATCGCATGTCAAGATGACAGACAGCAGGGCACAGTTAAAATATTAGACATTAGAGATACATTTTCCGGTTAATTTCATTTCATAAATAAACGTGCATACATAAAAATTATTAGGTGGTTTAAAGGATGCAACTGAACATATACATATAACAATATACATAGTTTTGTACATTTACTACTTAAATGTTAACTTTTCTTAAGAAACTAATATGTACATTTTTAAAAAGTTAATCACAAGTAGGCTCTTGTTAAGATGATGAAGATTCAGGTAGGATAAATATTAACACAATGCCAGTCATTTATAAACAAATCTCAACTGTATCTTTTGAATTTCTTACAGTTTTGATGTTTGTGAAATTTATGTCTTACCTCACTGAAAGGAGTGTAGGAGTACTTCTCTACCTCTTCCTCAACTTCTATTGAGTGAGCTTGAATCTCTTCTTCAATAGGGATATTCTCAGAGGAAGGTTTCCTTGGGAGACACGAAGAGTCCTGGATCTCCAGAGAGAAAAGTCCTCCTGATTTATCTTCGTACTTTATCATCTCCAAGTCCTCTTCAAGAGCAGCACTGGCTTGTCTGTTCTCCTCCTTCTCCTCCTCCTCTTCTTGAAGACCATAAGATTTCTTTGATTTCTCAGATTCATTTCTCTGTGAAACAAAGAGATTATTAGTTTGTTGTTAATACTATCTCATGTCATATAAAAAGATGACAGACAGCAGGGCACAGTAAATATATTAGATACATAATGAGCTTTCAAAGAAAATGTTATTTATGCATACATTTTCTGATTAATTTCATTTCAAATATATTCACAAATAAACCATGTTTAAAGGATGCAGTTGAACAAATAGTTTTTGTATACAAGGGGATTTGTAATGTTTTAATATACATACTTTATGTATATCTACTACTTAAATGTACTAATATGCATGTTCTTGTTAAGATGATTAAGATTTAGGTGGGGATCAGTATTAACACAGTGCCAGTAATTTTTACACAAATCTAAAATGCATCTTTTGGATTTCTTACAGTTTTCATATTTGTGAAACGTATCTCTTACCTTACGGGAAGGAGTGTAGCAGTACTCCTCAATGTCTTCCTCAATGTCTGTCATTTCAACTTCAGTCTCGTCTTCAATCTCATCTTCAATCTCTTCAATAGAGATATTGTCAGACAGATGATTCCTTGGGAGCCACAGAGAGTCCCGGACCTCCAGAGAGAAAAGTCCTCTAGATCTATCTTTGTCCATTTTCTTATCCTAAAATATGGCTTTGCTTTACTAACAATTTGTCGTGAATGTAGCTGGGAGAAATCCTGACTTTTGATACACTAACTGTAACACGTGTCTTCTAGTAATACCAACAGTGTGTGTCCAACAGGTACTTTGATCAGTGACATCACACTGGCTCTCGTCTCATAAATTCCACATTCCATTTTAAAGGGTCTGTTCACTTAAATTCCAAAGAAAGGTATTGTTTCCCTGTGGCACATAGCCATACTTAGAGATTTGCTTTTAGAAGTTTTTCTTTGATCTGCTCTTTTATTAATCTTTATTAGCTACATTTATTTTTTAATATCATTGATCTATTTTATATTCACTTTTAGTTATTTGACTATCGATTGCTGTAATATTGTTCACCACTACATGATATTAGTGGTCAAAGTCACAAGGACAACACAATACCTTAATAATGAAAATGCGTACCTATTAATCCCAATTCGTTACCTGAATTTAAGTTTATTGGAAACAACTTGCATACAAAACCTTTAGTGCAGGACAGTAACATAAAAAGTTCTGAGTACACCACACACAACATAAATAACTGTCACATGACACTTTTCTAATTGGAGATTAATGTCAGTTCAACAGAACAAGATTAATGTGTTTTTTGACCATTTAATTCTACTTCAACAGGGAATATGTATGTTTTATATCTATGTTAGACATAAAATTACAAGGTTGCTGAATGTTTATTTTTTGTTGATTACTAGAAAGTGGTGAAATTACAACCCTTGCCAAAATGGATCTATCGATTCTGAAACAGTTGTGTTATTGGACCCAGAATCAGCTGCTGTCTTTTAACTGGATTTTAAAACTCTCTCCACCATCAACAACTACAAACAGATGCTGTTACAGGGAAATTTAGCAGCAGCACTGAATTACTCATGGT